TGAAAAAACATTTTAGTTAATCAAAATAAACAAAAACTTTAATAAAATGAAAAGAAGATGACAGCTAACTAAAACTGTAAAATCTTTTTACAAAATTTTTACAAACTAACTGAAATTATAGATAGAATATCCATAGTTTTAGTGTTTGTGAATTTATTTTGAGCTGTGTGGACTGATTAAACAGATCGTTATTTATTTATCTATTTATTTCAAACTGAGTAGTTTCACATTAGCTGTGGGCAACAACATTTGTTTACAGTCTGCTGCTCAGCATTGTCTGCCAAATGATGACAACAAAAGTTGGGAGAAAGCACAACGTCCGCTTTGGGATTTTTTTAATGACTGCGAGAAAAAAAAAGCAAGTGTGTTGTAGTGGAAACAGGTGATAAAACAGGTGGAATACTTCTCAAGGGAAAAACTGCATGAATCAAACTCAGACAAGATGCTAACTATGACTATCTTGACACAGTAGCTTCTCTCAGTAGCAAAAACAAGCAACAGATAGCAGTAGGTTGAAGACAACTATTGTCACTGTCCTAAAATAATCACCCAAGTCCTTTGTTGACAAAATTGAGTTACGCAATTATTTTAGGAAGGTGTTGCTATAAAGGACTGCTTTAACTAGTGACCAAATAACTGTTGGTTTGTTAACTCACAGGAACATCACAAGCTGGAGGCAGCATTGGCAAATATGTTTATTCAAACTATAAAAAACTAATACTAGAACTAATAAAAACTAAACTAAAACTAAGCATTAAAAATGCAATAATAACTAATAAAAACTAGAAAATCCACTTTAAAAACTGACTAAAACTAACTGAATTAAAAGAAAAAAAATCACAATGAAATAAAAATAAACTATAATGAAAAATATTATAACCTTGGTAATATTAAAAACTAAAAAATATTTACTTTTAAGTGATTTACTTAAAGATTAGAATCTTAATCTGAAGTAATCTCTTTCCTCAGAAGGTTACTGTGAAGCGTCCCACTCAGCCTCCTCCTCCTTGATTCAGCAGCCCCCCGCTGCAGCCCCATCGTCGTCCACCGCCCACCCTCTTCCGGTGCCGCTCACAGTGGCGGCAGCGTTAAAACAGGAAGTCAGCCGTTTTGCCTCAGCCGAGCAGGCCTTTCCAAGAGCTGCCAATTCACCTCAGGTCCCTCTGATCCAACTCGCCTCCTCGTTTCCCGCCAACGTACTGTTCCAACCGTCCCACCCGCCCACCCCCACAGCTTCCTTTGCTCAACAAATAACAGCCGAAAGCTGCCCACCAGTGCTGTCCCCCGTCCCCGAATCGTCCACAGGCGGGCAGCAGCAACAAGAGGCGGGGCTCGGACCGAAGCGCTGCACGCACACAGAGGCGTCGGCCAAAACGTCGCAACCATCTGAGGGCATATCAGAGGCGGAGCCTGCTGGAAACCTGAGCAAAGATCGGGTTGAATTCGAGGAGCCCTCAGCAAACGGCAGAAAGCATAAAGCGGCTGAGGAAAACGACGAAGGCAGCGAAAGCGACAGCTCCGTGGAGATGATCGATCTCTCCAACCAGGAGGTCATCGACATCGACGGATCGGACAGCGAGAGCCCAGCGGACACGGAACCTGCCGTGCAGCCCGAGGCTCCACAGAGGTCCGTCAGCACGGAGCTCAGCTGTGCGAGCACTCAGACTTCGCAGGAAAACGAACCCGAGAGGTGAGTTTCACTCCAGATCAGTCCAGGGATGAAAATCTGGAATATACAGTTAGATTCTATAAACAGTTTATTTTTAATCCCTCAGCAAATTTCAGCCTTCAGTCGATTCAAGAAAAGATGCCGGCACCCCGCCAGGTGAGCTTCACCTCTACTGTTTACTTTCAGACTCATGGTTTTTACAAACGTGTGGCTGAAGATGTTGATATTTCAGATTCCGTTGAGGATGAAGAGCCGTCTTTGGGATCCTTCTCCAGTCACTCCGGCGCCGTTCATGGCCTGCAGGTTCACGACGGGCTGCTGTACACGTGTTCGGGGGACAACACGGCTCGAGTCTACAACCTCATGGTGCAGCATCACGACTTCAGATTACCTCTATATTTTCAAACCGTCAGTATGTTCAAATAAACAAGCCCTTCAATGTCGCTGTGTTCCCAGACCAGAGAGTGCGAAGGCATTTTTTACGGTCACACCAACAAAATCAACTGCCTGCTGGTGTCGTCGGGTCGGAACACGCAGGCCCGCCTCTACACCGGATCCAGCGACGAGACCATCCGCTGTTACAACATAACGGTACAGCTTACCTGCTCAAAGCTGACCATGCAAACATTGTAAAAAACAGAATGTGCAATACAGTACAAAGCTTTTATTTTGAAGGTCTGTGTTTTAACGTGTTATAAAAGCAGTTTTGTGCAGAATAAATGCTGTGGGTTATATTTCATCTGTTTTATTGGTAAATTAATCTAAATAATCACTGCTACATTTTACTTTTCTAAATCTAAGACATTTTTCTTTTCTTCCAGTCTAAGAAATGTCTGCAGAAGATCTCCCTTCCAGACAGGGTGCTGTGTTTGCACACGGCTTGGAGCATTTTGTATGCTGGGCTCGCCAATGGATCGGTCATCAGCTACGATCTAAAGGTGAGTTAAAACGTTTAAACACTGAAGCTACAAGTGAGCCAGGCTTATCCCGTAATTTATGTATTTATTTATTTTTTTAAATTTAGAGTCTGAAAAAGCTGGACGTGTTCGAGTGCCACGGCCCCCGAGGGGTGAGCTGCCTTGGCACGGCTCAGGAGGGCGCCAGGCGGCTGCTGCTGGTCGGTTCGTACGACAACACCATCAGCGTCCGCGACGCCAAGAACGGCCTGCTGCTGCGCTCGCTGGAAGGTCACACCAAGACCGTGCTCTGTATGAAGGTGGGGGGATTTCACTGTCTGCAAAGGCCTTAATGGGAGTTCAGATGACTTTAAAGCTGTTGTGGCCAAACTTTTCCCCCAGAGCGCCAAAATGAAAATCTATGTGAGGACGGTGGACTAAATGCAATAATATAATACACAGAATTAAAATACTTTTTAAGTGAAGACATTTTATTTTTATGATTAAGTTAGCAGCCTGTGCAGTGGCCCACATTTTGTTTATTTTTAGCTCATGGGACATTTCATGTTTAATCTTAATAAAATTAAAAGCTTAAGTACGCTCCATGAGTGAAAACTATCTGCATTAAAGCCTCATGTGTAGTCACTGTGCCAATGACAGGATTATAAATACAATGTTTCTACATGACAGGTGAGTACAAGCTTGTAATCAGGGCAACTGCTGACACCCAAGGTGGGGCCTGCGGGCCGAAATTGGCCTGCCAAGCCATTTGACTGAAATTTAAATTTTTAATTCAAGAATTCAAGACTTATCTTACCTTTTTTTTTACTTCACTCATATTGGGTCCATTTGTGTTTTATTGAAATGTTTGAAGAATTAATGTGTGATTTTAGCAAATTTGAATCATAAATGTGTACATTTTGACATAAAACTTTTCTTATTTTATGATTTTGATTCAGTTAACTTTGAAGTTTATTTTACCTGTTAGCAGTTTTCTTTGTTTTATTTTTTCTCTAATTTACTCCTCCTAAAGTGTATTGCCTCCTTGTTTACTTTTATTTTAACGGGTAATCTCACAAGGGACACACATCAGTTGTGTAAAAATCATTTAAATAAGAGCAAAGTTAAAATGTAAAAACAAGAACTATTTTGTTTCATATTCTTTATAATGTCTTTAAATGTGAATACAGGTGTATTAATTGTCAGGTTACCTCATGTGTTCTCAGGTGGTGAACGATCTCGTCTTCAGTGGCTCCAGCGACACGTCGGTCCACTCTCACAACATCCATGTACGTGTTTGTCCTCGTTATTTCCTGACATTCGTCTAACGCTGTGTTTTATATCAACTTCATGTTTTCACATTATTGTCACCTACATTTGTTTGTTTGTTTGTTTGTAGACGGGTGAGCTGGTTCGGATCTACAAAGGTCACAGTCACGCCGTCACATCCATCGTCATCCTGGGTAAAGTGATGGTGACGGCCTGCCTGGATAAACTGATCCGGGTTTATGAGCTGCAGGTATTTATCATCATATGTCTCGTGAGAAAATATCAGGAGTCATTTATTTAGTGGCGTTTACGATTTGTTTGCAGTCCCACGATCGCCTGCAGGTGTACGGGGGTCACAGTGACATGGTGATGTGTATGGCTGTTCACAAGAGTGTGGTAAGTGGACTGAAACTGGACCCGCTGTAGGTTTTTTTTTTTTTGTGATTCGCATTTATTATTTGTCGTTCCTCGCAGATTTACACGGGCTGCTACGACGGAACAGTTCAAGCTGTGAAGCTCAACCTGTTGAAGAACTACCGCTGCTGGGTAAGAGCCGGAGAGACCGTCCTGCGTTTCAGTTCCCACCTGATGGAAGCTTGACTGACGGGTTTGTTTTCTGTGCAGTGGCAGGGCTGCTCTCTGATCTTCGGCGTCCCGGAGCACCTTTTTCATCACCTCACTCAGGATCACAGCAACCCAAATCTGCAGACGGCGAAGTGTCGCTGGAGGGACTGCAACAGCTTTTTTGCCACACAACAGGCCGTTAGACAGGTTAGTTGTTTCTAAAACGTGCCTTTAAGTCAAAATTACACTTTTAGATGGGGATGTTAAAGTGCTGGAATCCTAGGAGTGAGACTCTGAGCTCAACTTTTAGCTCGTTTACGAATATAAAATGTTTACAGAGGTGACTTACACAGTGGTGGGCACAGCTAGACAAAAGGTTAGTTTCACTAAGCACTAATCAGCTAAACAAGAGTCTTAGCTCCACAAATGCTGAACCGCTAAACAATAATGTTAGCACTGCTAGCGCTAAGTCCCTAAACAAATAAAAAATTAGTGGACGCTAACGCTAACCGCTAAGAAGACACACACATCTTCACCTCCGTCCTGTATTTAGTTTGAATCTGTCCAACTTGTGATACTTCCAGTTTAACCCTTTCAGAATAAAAGCATTAATTTGATCAAATTTGAATTTTTATAAATACCATTTAAAGTTAGTCAAACAACAAATACATAGTCAGTTTTTGTACTTCCTATTTGAATATTGTTGAAAGTTATTTTATTTCTTTTTGAAGAAAACGCTCTTCTTTTGAAGTTTAGCTGCTCAAGACGCTACATGCTACATGTTTTCAGACACATCCAGCACCGCTCGTAAGATGGGATGGTGTTTATTTCATTTTGGATAAGTATCATAAAAATAGAAGTTTTTCTTGTTTTTTTTCTGGACTTACATTTAATGTAACCTAATTTAGCAGAAGCTAATCTGTCCGCTAACAGTTTCCAAAGTTAGCAAACAAGCTAATCTGCTAAAGAGAGGCTAGTTCTGCCGTTAGCGGACCTTAAATTTAGGTCTGTTCAATGTAAAAAAAAATTGTCAATTTTGCATCAGCCTCTGTAATCCCAAGAGGTTTTGAGGTTGCAGGATCAAATCCCAGACAAAGACCTTTCTGGTTAGAGTTTGCATGTTCTTTCCATGCATGTGTGGGTTTTCTCCCGTTTCCTCCCACAGACCAAAAACATGTATGTTAGGCTAATTGTTAACTCTAAATTGTCCCTGTGAGGGGTGCACCCCGCCCCTCGCCAGGTCCCCTTGTACACCCCCCACATCAGAATATATGTTTACCAACTATTGATTCCTAAGTTGTTTGTTTAAAACGCTTTTTTCCAGTCTTTATTTAGTTATTTTGTTCCTGCAGGATCTGCCAGAACACATGCAGAGCCACGTGGAGAACGACAGCAAACAGCAACCTTGACGGTAAAGGAAGTGAAAGAGCAGAACAATCAAAGACTCAAACGTTTTGACTACAAGATGTTTTATTTGTTTGTTTTGAAGACACTGTCATTATTCCAACAGTGTTTTACTTCTGACAGAAAAAAAATGTCCTGAAACTTCTGATTCTCCCATGATTCCTATTTGAAGCTGTTTTCTGTTTCATAGTGAAAATAATTTATTGCTCTACTTTGGGATCTGTCAGTTGAGACGTTTTCCAAATATCACTGTGAAGAATGTGTAATATGCAGCCAAACAGTCTTTAAAGCCGATTTTTACATAAAGCCAGCGCCAACAAACACGTCGAGGCTTTCGTGAAGCAGAATTTACCATCAGCTGAAACAGGAGTCGACTTGATTCTGGAGTTTTTGTGTAAATTAAGAAGATTCTGGATGAACTGAAATGAAAAAAAAAAAGCATTTCTTTTAAACTTCTTTGTCCCAAGTTTGTGCCTACATTACCCATAATGCAATGCTGCCATCAAACATTAAAATTTGTGCATAAGCTTCAGTTTTCCAACATTTAAGTCTAAATTCTTCTTAAATCCGGAATGTAATTAACCTTGTTTTTCTATAACTTTTTATTTATAGACTTTGTTTGAAATCCTCACGTCTTTTTCTTTCTGAAGTTCTCATCTTGTAATTTTTTATTTTTATTTTTTCCTACATTTCAAATCAAATTATTCCAGATG